TTTTATTTTTTAATTTTTGAACGTACAATTTTTTCTCTTTGTTTTCTGAAAGACCTCTAAGAAAGAATGAAAGTCATATAATATCAATCCTTACAGAGTTAGAACTGCTGGAAAAAGAAGCTGAAAAATGAAAACTGGGTCCAATGGACTGTGATAGCTCCCCAAGGGTATAGTAGCACTTTTACTCCTACGTAACGCACACCAATCCCAAGTGAAGATAAGGACTCAAAACCAGGAAAAGCTGCATTTATTTTTATAAAAGCAGTGTTTAAAGAAAAACTTCAAACAGAGCAGTTAAAAAAAAAAGAAAGAAAGAAAAAGAAAATTCTTTCACTACTACCATGGGGGGAGCTACTTTTAAAGTCTGACATATCCTTCAAGATACAAAGTATGCACATCCAAACAAAGACATACACTTGCATACACTGTAGGCTTTTTTGTTTATTTAAAGACAAACAGGATCATACTATACACATTTCCACAGTTCTGAATTGTGATTTCCCCCTCACTCAATAGACTGCAGGCCTCCTTCCCAGCCCGTGGATACAGATCTATCATACCCTGTTACTCCCTGGGACACATGTATCCACTTACTTAGCCATTTCCCTGCTAAAGGACGGTTGAAGTCATCTCCTGACTTTTCTATTACAGATACTACAGCTATGACCATCTTGCTCCTAACACCTCAGATGCTGAATAAAAGCCATCCTTCACTAGCACAAACCTTAGATTTAAAAAAAAACAAAACATCACTACCCGCCCACCCATTCGCTTTCTTAACTCAGGACCTTTGCACCTGTTGCTCCCTTTCTTGCAATGTACTTTCCCCTGTTCTTTTGCTCATCTTTAGTCTTGGCTTAAATGGCTCTTCCTCAAGGAGGACTTCTCTGATTGTACTACCAACCAAAACCAAACCCACTGCCATTGAGTCAATTCCAACTCATAGCAACTCTACAGGACAGAGCAGAACTGCCCCATAGGGTTTCCAAGGCTGTAAACCTTTATGGAAGCAGACTGCTACATCTTTCTCCCACGGAACAGCTGGGGGTTTGACACCTCTCAGTTAGCAGCCAAGCACGTTAACCACTGTGCCATTAGGACTCCTTGCACTACCAACATTCTAATCTAAATTTGACACTTTATGCTCTCATACCACCTGCTACTTTTCCATCACAGTACTCACGACACTTTTTGGTGGTACTAACATTAAATGTCTGCAGTTTCACTTAACTAACTCCACAGGGGTAGGGACAGCACTGGCTGTGCTCACCTCAGGGCCTAGCACAACGCCTGTTGCCAAGGGACCAGACTACACCTGCCTCGTAGACAGAAACTGCTGGCTTTATTAGCTATCTTACAGAGAAGATTAATTGATCACATGCTCTACAAATTTCAACAGCAAAACTGACAATTTTTTTACACAATAATTACCAATGTGCACAAACAGACAAGCTCATGCCCTGTTGGCAGGGGTCTAAAATGGTACCATCTTTCTGGTGGGGAACTTGGCCATATATATATCAACATGCATACTCTGCTTGAGTATGCTACTTCTAGGACTGTGGCTCACAGAAATAATCTTGCATGTATGCAAAGATTTAACTACAACATTGTTCTTCACTACCCATTTTATATCAGGAAAACACGCGAACAACCTAAATAACCAAGTCCCTGTTGTTGAAAAAATAAACTGGTATGTTCACGCAATGGAATACTTTGCAGCTATTAAAAAGTGCTTAGGTGCTTTGTTGAATTTGAGTCCTCCATGGAATTACAAGTAAATGACACAACATATTCACAATAACACTTACTGGACACTATCATTCATTTTTGTGAAAGATATATGTATGTATTTACCTATATATGCACTAACAACCACCAAAATGTTTACAGCGATTATCTTCAAGTAGTAAATTTACATTTTTAATTTTAAAATTTTTATAATTAACATGCATTATGTTTCAATAAAAAAATAAAGTTACCTTTTAAAAACTTCTCTCTTTACCCCTACTACCCACCTAGCAGGGGACCTGGTAAAATCAGACAACTCTGCTAAGGTAGAAGGCCAAGTGTTTCATTTATTATGTGAAGAAAAAGTCTTATTGTAGTTAATGACTCTCATTTCTAGACACTGGTTAAGGCCAGTCTTTGAGCCATTTCTGAAGGGAACTGCCTCTACTTCAAACTACAAGAAACTAAAAAATAAGCAAATAGGAGGAAAGTCAAGGTGCACGAGGTGATTTAAACTTTACTCCCAATAAGGCTCCTTACAGACCTCAGATAAGCCAATGAAAACTCAGCACAGGAGCCTAGGTCTGCTACAGCCACTGCTCTCAGGATGTGCCAGCTGACGCTGCTCCAGTGAGTGATGGCATCAGACTGGGAGACTCCAACAGGCACTTTCCCTTTTCAGCAATATTCTAATTATTTCCATGGAGGACTCAAAAGGGAGGGAAAAAAAAACCACCTGGGAAGCACTGTTAACACTTAGGATCTATAGTTTCCAAACCCTGACTGTACTTTAGAATCACAAATTAAACTTAAAAAAGCAAATGCTAGATTCCTGGGTCTCAACCTAGACCTACTGCATTATTAAAATCATGTGGGTTGAACCTAGGAATCTTTTTTGTTTTTTTTTTTAACTCAAGTCGTTCTGATGTAGCCAACTCACATACCAGCGTTCAGCAATCACTGAACAACTGTTGGCTGGAAGGAACTGAGAAATACCTACAACATCTGACTCCAATTAGATTAGCACCAAAGCCAAGTAAAAAAAATGGAAGGCCTCCAAAATAACTCAGCTTATACTTACCTTTCTGTATTTTAATAAATCTGACCACCGAGAAGTTCATCCATTTAACTTCACTAAATCCTCTTTTAAGTTATAGCCCATTCATTCTCTTTTTATTTGGTCCTTAGTGGACTCTGGGAACAGATCGGCTCTGTTAAAATGTGTGACTGCACTGAAAAATAGAAACACACTACAACAAAAAAAGCACCAAAAGTCACCTGTGCTGCCACACCTGAAGCCTCAGGGCACCATCCTGAGCTGGGCTTCACTCTGGGGGCGCAGTAAGACACCGCGTTACCTCAGCAAGCACCCTATCAACTTTCCCCTTGGGTTCCTATCTGTCATGACGCATTTAGCCCCACTGATCTGTGCAACACCTTCTTGTTCTTGGTGAGATTGTTTCTTGGGGAGGAGTCAAATGCTACGCAGGGATATTTTCAGGTGGTATTTCCTGCTGTGATTAAACAGGACCATGATATCTCAATGTTTTCTACTCAATGAATTTCTTACGGACTTTGGTGACTTGATTTGTGATAAAACTTTACCTTACCAGAAGTATTCGCGAATGCTTTGGCCCCTCATTGGCATGGAGACACTTACTTCCTAAGAGTCATACTCCTATTCGGTTGCAAAGAGAAAATCCTTTCCCTATCATGGTGGTTTTACAAGAAGGCCCCCAAACTCTCTGGCACTCCACTCCTCAAGAAATAGGGTTCTCAACATTGTGACTGTACTAATAAAAGCCACTGAATTGTATACTTACATGGTTAAAATGGTAAATTTTACGTTAAGTGAATATTACCTCAATCTAATATTGGGCTCTGTGCTGGCCTGATCTACAGAATATTGCAGAAGCAATGCTGTGCTAATTTCTAGGCCCAGGCCTTCAGAAACTGGCAGCTGCTTCCATTTCCTGTCTCCTAGAATGCTCACTGTTGGAAGCCCACTACCATACCGACAAGGGGTTTAAGCAGCCTTTGCATAGCTCCATTAAGAGAGGAACTGGGGTCCCCAGGCCTGAGCCCTAGCTTTGTTCCCAACTGACAGCCAGCACTGACTTGCCAGCCGTGTGAGTGAGCCCTCTTGAAAGTAGATCCTCCAGCCTCCTGTGGAGCAGCCTCAGTCAAAACGATGTACAGCAGAGACAAGATACTCTGCCAAACCTCGCCTAAATTAAAGATCCTTGAGCAAAATTAAGGATTGTAGATGTTTAAGCCACTATGTTTTCTGATGATTTGTTCTGCAGCAGTAGACAACTGCTACTCCTATATAAGAAAGAGTGGCTGGTTGTGATTCCACTCCTAAAAAGTCTTGAAGGCAGGGACACAAAGGGATACTTGTACACCAAGGTTCACTGAAGCATCATTCACAACAGCCAAAAGGTGGAAGCAACTAGCCACTCCTTAGGAGAAGGATGTGGTAATCTGCTTCCATAAAGATTACAGCCTTGGAAACTCTGTGGGGCAGTTCTATTCTGTCCTACAGGGTTGCTATAACTCAGAATCAACTTAATGGCAACGGGTTTGGTATTTTTTGGTTATATACCTGTGATTATAATCCTATTTGAGAATTAGTTTTCTTTCTCATGTTAAGAGGTCATATCAGTATAGAGTGTGTTTTAAGCCAGTCATCTTTGAGATACAGTAAAATCTGCAAAAATCGGAACCTGTGTAAGGCGGAAACCTCTCAGAGAAAGAAAACTCAAATATTTTCCACTAAAATGAGTGACAGAAAAGTGCTAAGACTGAACCCTGCAAAGGTGGAAAACTTAAGAGCCAGAAAAACAAGACAATCTCTTCAAGTTCCAGCTCTCACAGATTTCACCATATTAAAAACAGTGAATTAGGACAGAGAAGCAAGCAAAGGTGGGGGAAGATAGATGCTACACCACATGAAGATTACCAAGGAACTGAGCCATCGCCCAGAAGCTGAGAGGAGACAAGGACCTTCCCCCAGAACCAATGGAGAGAAAAAGCCTTCCCCTAGAAGCCAGCACCCTGAATTTGAACTTCTAGCTTCCTAAACTGTGAGAAAATAAATTCCTGTTTGTTAAACCCACCACTTGTGGTATTTTTGTTATAGCAGCACTAGATGACTAAGACGGCTGTCAACACACCTTCTTAGAAAAAGAAACTCGAGATGATGTGTTTCATACCACTCTCCTGCTCTGCCCCCACGGGTCACGGAGCCTCAGACTCTGTCTTCTTACCTCCAGCCTCTCAGGAAGGGGCTCGTTCTGCAGAATCCTCAGTGCTTTAGCTGCAGCATCATGTTTCGCAGCCTGTCTCGTCCTTCCTTTTCCATTAAATTGCTGTCCTCCCACAGAAAGTTCAACTTGATAAAGTAAAGGTGGAACTGGAAATGGGTAAAAGTATCTAAAAGTAAAAGGAGTTTAGATTGGTACACTGCAGACTGACAGTCTCAGATTGATAAACCGCCCATATATTCTCTGGCAAATTCTAGGTATTTTTTTCATCATGGGTCCTAATCACATTAGTGTTTGATGGCTAATAATGACTCCTCATCAATGTATCCAGAGATTTCATAAAAGTTTAAACTGGATTAGAACTGCCACACAGTATGAGCAAATACCATTTAGCAATTCAAACCAATGTTCCACAAGAAACGCTACTTACAAATAACATGAGTTCAATTTTTAATGCTTACTTGTATTCACAAAATCTAACAGAGATTGGGCTTTGGCTGAGACAAAAACCTAACCTGCTCTACTTTCTCATTCTGAGATTCGCCCTTGCACGAGGGCTCTGGGATTTTTGATATAAACGTCCTTCAGAAAGGATCCACTTTTCTGGAAATTCCAATAGCCTAGAACCTGACAGTCTGGTTTCTTACATTCCAGTTTGTATTTTCAAAATGGCTTTCCCCTCAAGAAGGGCAGGGAATGAAAACTTCTATTTTGATCATCAATCTACCCACTAATGTCTTATTACTGTCAGCAGGGGGTTTTTAAATTATGGCATTATGGGGTTTCAATTAATATTTCACTACACATGTGTTTCCAAGTTATTTACAAAGCACACAAGTTCAAAGGTCAAAAAGCACCCAATAAACAATTATCAGAAATTCTACAAACGCTGAGAATAATGGTGTCACAGGAAGCGTTTTCAAATATGATTCAGTAACAAAGAGCAATTACAAGTGTGATCTTTAACCAGACTGCTTGGGGGCACAAGCCACACTGCTAGTGAGGAATATTGCTCAGGCCTTTGCCAACTATAGGAGTTAAAACAGCACCGTGATACAGTTCCAAAGGCACCGGCACAATTAAGGCGGACTTTAAAATCTGGGAGGCCTAAAGAAGACCACGTCGTTTTTTGTTTCATAATCTACAAACCGACCAAACCCATTCCGATTCATAGTGACCCTATAGGACAGAGTAGAACTGCCCCATAGGGTTTCCAAGGCTGTAATCTTTACGGAAGCAGACTGCCACATCTTTTTCCCATGGAGTAGCTGGTGACTTCAAACTGCTGACCTTTTGGGTAGCAGCCGAATGCTAGACCACTGCGCCACCTGGGCTCCTTTCATAATCTATAGATAAATGTTACTTGATTATTCTATGTAAAGCATCAGCTATATTCATTTTCATCTGTATTTTATTAAAAAAAGAAAAACACCAACCAACACACACACACACATACCTCGGGGGATAAGCACCTCCTCTCATGTTGTAGTTGTAGGTGGACTGCATCCGAGAGTAAGGGTCAACAGGCTTGTACATTGGTTTTTTCCCAAGTTTCATGCACAGTGCATTTAGTTCTACAGTAGGAGTTATGCTTTCTGCAACACAAAACCAACACAAAGAACTGGTTTTTTTGCTGACGTGAGAATGACAGTTACTAAAATAAAAAAGATAGCATGCTTTTGTCTAATTGGACTGATGACATGTTACATAAAAGGACCTAAGGACTTCTCTGCCAGGCATCAGGTCAGGAAATCCAAGAATCTGCTGTGATTTCTGGGATCAATATACAGACAACAGCTCAGAATATACCCATAAAGGCTGTTAGAGGGAGCGGCCATTTAATACAAGATGTTATCGGTGAAAGCCATACATTCCAGTTGTCAGAAATAAGTTCCACTACATGTCAAACTCCATGATTAAAACATTCCATGCAACTGTGCAAATTATTTTATTGCTCAGGAACACTTAACCAATACAACTTTTATTATACTGACTGACTGGGTTATTGGCTCACACTCAGAAGTATGTTTAGACACACTTTCACTGAACAATGCATTTATTGAGTACTGACTATATGCAAAGCACTGTGCTGAGCTAGAGGGACACAATTCTTACTCCAGAGGAGCTGAGAGAGCGTACAACACACTAAAAGAGCTGCGGTATCACAGGACACGGGCCGTAAGGAAAAGGGTAGAATCACTGAGGAAGAAGCAAGTAAATTCTATCTGGAGAAGTCAGATGAGGCCCACAGAACATTCCAATATTTCCATTCTTGACAATCTTGAATCCCATTCTTATAATGGGATCTGACCTGTGGTAATACTTGTCAGAAAAATGAGTTTTATTTCCATATACAATAGGAGCAACTGTATCTTAAGTCAGGATTATTAACTTTAGAAAACATATTCTATTCATTTTCCTTTTTTTTTTTCCTCTGTCAGCTCATCCAATTCATAAACTTGTACAAACCACTTAAAAAAAAAAAAAAATCAGCCTGGAAGATTAGTGTCAGTGCACGATCACATTTAAAAACATTTCACATCAAACACAGAACAACACTAGCAATGGCAAAATTCAATTTAAATGCACACAAAAATCCACCTTAAAATGCTTCTTTAGGATGTGTGTAGAGAAGAATAAAAATGACTTGATTCTGTACTATAACTGGTTTGACTAAATTTAGTGCATGAATAAATTTATAAGAGTATCTTTGGGGTTTGCAAAATCAGAGGGTCTCATGAATTACCAGCCTCTCTCTCTTCCTCACAATTATACTTTTTCAGAATTCATATAGTTGCATTTTAAGTACAACCGGAATAATTTTAAGAGCAGCTCTGATCCATAGAATTTTTCTGCAGTAGAGAATGAATATGAAAGAAAACAAAGAAATCAAAAGCAAAAAGAAAGGTCTGGCCAAGAACTTCCCGGATTTGTTCCTGCGTACAAAGGGACTGGGATTACTTGATGTACTTGAGGGTCAATTCTGCTAAAATGTCCATTCTTACCATAGCCTTCAGATCAGTGGTTCCCAACCTGTTCACCAGACACTCTTCTTTGTTTGTATTCTCCCCTCTTGGGCCCCTTGTTTGAAAAAATCTTACTTACTAATCTGTATTTATTAATACATATTTAAGTTACTTTCTCATTCTTTTTAATGATCAGGAGACATGTAACTGACAATCAGGGCCATGATCACCATGATATAATCGATATTACCACACTGAGTTGAAGTGATTCCAGCTAAAACCTACGTTCTTGATAATCTGTACAACCTGATCAAGAGAAAACATATCTTCACTAAGCTTTTCTGAAATCTTAGAAATCGTTTGGTGAATTCCCCATCCTCCTTACCCCAATGACCGTCTCTCCAGATCACTAGGAATCCAGGGACTGTAGACTGGGAACCACTGCTTTAGAGTAGGGTAAAGAATTCCTAAAAGATAAGCATTTGCCACTGGTAGTGTAGAATCTGTGCTTTCAAAATCAACAAGTTAGTTAAGAAATAATTCATATACATACTAAGTGGGTACCTCTAGACACACTTTTGAAAGGAACCTGTCTTGGCCCACGAATAATACCTGGATTCCTTCCTTCGCTACGAAAAGGGCGGACTATAGGTTTAGGAAATTTTGTTCCTTCCAAAGCTTTGGCAGCAGCCGTGTGTTGGGCTTTTTTAATACTAGTTCCTTCAGCTTCCCAGTGCTGATCTCCAAGTGTTAGCTGTACTGTAAACACCTACAAATGAAAATTGTGAGCTCTCAATTCATGAAACCTGAGGTCGAATGTAATATGTCACTTGGACCCTGAACATTTTTTATGGACATGATTTAAAAGGCCTGGTCTTTATCTTGGTAAATTCATCCCTTCACCCCTTTTTCCTTTTCTGTTGTTGTTACAAGCAGAAAAAGATTTTTAAAATGTAAGTATCGTTGATGAAAGTTGGACAGCACTCCAATAAAAAAACTATGCTTTGAAAGATGGGGGTAAATATAGAGATTGAAAAATGCTTTCTTACATATTAAAGTATAAACCAAAAAAAAAAAAAAAAACCATTACCATCGAGTCAATTCCGACTCACAGTGACCCTATAGAACAGAGCAGAACTGCCCCATAGGGTTTCTACGGAACGGCTGGTAGATTCGAATTGCTGATCTTTTGGTTAGCAGCTGAACTCTTAACCACTGCACCACCAGGGCTCCATTAAAATATTAGACCCTGATTATTTGGAAGCCACCCAAACAGACATTGTCTTCCAATGACTTCTCATGGAAGAAATTTAGCAAACTTGATTTAGATACATTGTAGTATCTCACGCAAATTAAAACAATGTTTGTTTTGATGCTACAATGTGTTTGTTGATTCTTGTCTGAAAACATAACCCTTAGGACAAGAACTTGTACAAATTTGGAAATGTCAGCCAGGTTCTAAAATGTTGCCTTCTACTTCCTAAGACGGTACTATTCAGACACTGCCTCCACTTCCAGAAGAAAATCAGACCCACAGCAACAAAGATCTAAAATCATTTCTGAACTCAACTCTAAAGAGACATCCAAACAGTTCATTTTAACCTCAACACATGCCTACAATGGCAAGCCTCTTTCCTCTTTTTTAAGTATAAAGGTAACCCAAGAGCACCTCCAGTCTTAAAATTAGGTTACTTTAATCCACCACTATTTAATTAATACTCTGACAAAAAAAATTACAGAACAGCGATTCTTTCACGTTGGTATGCATCCAAAGTATCACGTGGGGCACCTGGTAAAATATAGATAACCTGGCCCCACCCGCCAGGGATTCTGACTGACTGACTAGCATTGGGGGGGGGGGGGGGGGGGGGCAGGGACGGGACATGAGCATGTGTATTTTTAGTAAGCTCCCAAGGTAATTCTGATGCACCCTAAAGTTTGAGATCCACTACTCTGGTACTTAGCAAAATGGACTGGAGCTTTTATTGTTCTGATTTTCTTTATCACTGGACATTACTTTATTTCATCTACAAATAATTTATAAGGGAATCATAGATTTGAACATGTCTAGGTCATTTAAATTTAGTGCCTAAGGAAGAGAGGGCAACTTGCCTTGCTGATTTTTCTTGTAGGTCTTAACTTCAGGATTCCCTCAGTGCACAGCTTCCACTAAAGGGAAAAACTAAAGATTCCTTCATCCCCCTTGAAACATTAGGGCTCTCCTGTACATGTGCTGTAGTTCCTGAGGTGACTCACTCAAGTACCAACAGCATGACCTTAAAACCCTGGCTAGCCTGAGAAGTCAAACAGCAAAAGCCTGAAATGCTGTGCAATCCATGGGTGTTTTTGGTGATCCTTTCAGGGAAAGACACTGAAGGGGGAAAAGGCTAGAAAACAAAAAAGAGTTAATCTTATCAACAGTCTTGTCTTTCTCCAGGGCTTTCCCCATCCGGCGCTGTTGGCCTTCTGCTGCGTTCTGTGTGGAGGGTCGGTAGTGAGGTTAGAAGCTTGGTTTTGATAGAATTAAAGGTACATCAGACCTCTGACTTTTCAAATAGCCTAACAGTCACCCAGGAGGAGACAACTTCTCCTCTTTGAGCAACTCCTGGGTAAAAAAATAGGCAGTTATGGATTGAACACACAGCAAAACTACCTAAAGTACTAAAGTGCAGGTGAGAAAGAACATTTTCCAAAAAATACCAAAAATGGTTAATAAAGGGAATCCCAAAGTTAAGGTCTGCAAAAAAAAATCCTGTAGGAGAAGCATAACAGTTACAGAAAATGACTGATTGCCTTCCAAATACAAAGAAACACTTGAAATATAATTATGCTTTGGAATAATGTTAAAACTAACTTCATGTGAGTGGGAAAGTTCTGTTTTTCTTAAATGCATACTTACTTACTCCAATAATAGCTACCATTTATTAAGCCCTTACTAAGTGCCAGGCACTATGCCCCATACTTTAGCACATATTCTCTCACTTCCTTCTCATAACAGATCTATTCAGTAGGTATTATTATCCCCATTTTACAGATGAGGAAACCTGAGGTTTAAAAAAAGTACTAACTTCCCAAGGTCACATAGCTAGTAAGGAGTTGAGATTCAAACCCAGATCTGTCTGACTCCAAAGTCCACTCACCTAGCCATGCTATTCTATGGTGCCAACTCAGAATTATGGTTGATGTTACTTTTAGTCAAATGAAGAGAAACTTCACATCATATAAGGCTTGAGGTTTTGCATGTCAAGAAAATGAGGCATAAAGAGATTAAATAACTCATCCTTATACTATCTTTGCTGCAAGGATAGGATCAGAAACAGGAGGCCCAATTCTTTACCTCTCATACTATATCCTCTTAGGCTAAAGTCACAAAAGATAAAGCCAGAATGCAAAAATTAAGTTTCAACATATACATTAGCACAGATATTACACAAGTTTAAGAACCTGAATTCTTGAATAACAAATTGTAAAATTTCAAATTACAATCAGCCCTTCATTCTCTGAGGTCAGAGGAATGACAAGCGTAACTGAAATCAGAGACAATCCAAAATACTCACTTTGAGACTAACTTCTACCTTACATCTTCAAACCTTTTACTGGATTGCTAACAAGTGGCAAAACTGATTTCCCATTCACCTCCTCTCCCCGTCCAGTCTAAGGCACACCTGCAAACAGCAGGAAAGGAGCCAGAGGTAGGCTGCAGCCAGGAGGAGGCCCAGAGCCTGGAAAACTCAAGGAAAATCATTCACAGGTACTTGGAAATTGTCTCTATTCAGAATCCTAAACAACCACACACCAAACAGAGTTTTAAAAGTCAAATATCCCAAAAAGAAGCCTATCTTTCCTTTGACCCATTCTGCAAGGATGAAAAAGGAAGCAACCCTTCAAAAATCTATACTTTTCATCTTTTGAAAACACCGTCAACAGTTTGAAAATATATATTTTGAATCACAGCATCACTTTCAAGTGGAAAAAAACAGAAAACATTCCTGGTGGTTTATAAATGCACAAGCAGTATGGACAATATTTACCTTACAGTGAGCTGGACCTTGCTCACGCAAAAGCTTATACTCAGGCTGAATCTTGTTGAAACGGGCTAACTCATTCACAAGACACATTGGGGTTTTCTCTTTGGGGTGTGCCATGTTAGAAGGAACTGCAAAATAACGTAAGAGCATTGAAGTCAACTAGCAGCACGTAAGACTGCTGCTCTCACAGGGATATGAAAACAGAGGGAAAACAAATGGAAGAAATACGGAGTCAGAGCAGCAGGGATGCAAAACCACAAACCATACTGGGACACATGCCTGCAGAAGACACTACCATGGTCTTTTTGAACCAGCTGAAGCCAGATAACCTAGAAGGAGAGGTGTGTCTTCAAAAGAGAGAACGGAAGTCAGGGAAGTAACTAAACCACAGCAGGCAAGCAAGATTTGGCATCAGAGGAACCACTGTTACTATAACCAACCAAGAGAATAACAAGGAAGTCTTTTCAGCAGAGACACACTGGTTACCGCAACAGCTGTCAGCCGTACCCTGTTCGTTATTTCACAAAACTCAACATGCCAATACCATCTCTCAAACAACAGTCATTTTCCAGACAGCTAACTTCTCATTCCTAGGGCATCTCCTACTCTCTTCTCTAGGCTGCCATCCTTGTATCTTATTATCTATTTCTGACAGTTCTATAAGTAAAATAAAATGGACTTGGTGGGAGGGAGTTTTACAAAGTCAATAGGATGCAGACGTAAGAAGATATTAGAAGAAAAAGCAATAAATCCTAGAGGACTGAAATAAGTCTGTGCCTTTGTCTTTGAAGATGGTCTCACATGGCAAATTTGGGGAAAACTGAGTGCCTAGGGGACTATGACAAGCCAAAAATGCTATCTGGTGAGCCAGTTCAATGAAGTCTGGAGGCAGCGCGGAAGATGCCATGCAGTGAGTGAGTGGGAGAAGCAAACACTCTAAGAACAGATTTACAAAGTAAAGGAAATGAGGAGATGAAGGAAGAAATGCAAGGGTAAAAGTCAGGCATATAGAAGGGGTTGAAAAGAATTTGTTATCAGGTGACTAGCACAGAGACACACAATACTGGCACCTCATTTATTTAACTGGTCTCACCACTTGTGGGGGTGCAGAATATTGGTTTTAGGCTTTTTTAAAAAAAAAAGTCTCAAGTCTTTTCTAACCAATGAGTACCTTTAGTTCATTTTCCTAATAATCAGATTTGAATGCTTCTAAACTTTTTATTTTTTTAAATCTCTGCTTCTTTGTTCAATTTCTAATTGCTCCTCACAATGATTTCTGAACTACCTCTGGAACCTCTTGAACTTAAACTTACTTGGTTGAAATAAAAATTAACAAATGTCACACACTTTTTTTGCTTCTAGTGAAATGTGGCTGCCCCCTTGCCTGGAATAAAATCTTATGAACACACAAAAAGGGGTTTGCACAAACAAGAGTTCTTTGTCAGTTCTGGAAAATAATTTTAAAAGCAGAATTTTCCCATATAACAGTGAATATTCAAAGTGGTATTTACTGCTCAATTCTTTCTGCCAGTCACCACTTTATAATAGGCTAGACTTTCTAGATTGAGTAGTTTTCAATTCCTTTTCTTACAATTTTGAAATGGTCTGCCAAATGAGATCTCCACCAACCCAACATATAACCAGTGTTTTATAACTAGGAAAAAGAAGAATGGATGGCAGTACTTTCTTCTGCTTCTTGAAGGTAAATTTGAGCACTCCCTACATCTACAAAGCTACTTATCAGATCAGAAAACAGACTAAGAAAACATTTGAAACAGAAGACACTTGGATTCATACGCTTACCTGCAGCTGCACTGGTGGATGTGATAGATGCAGAGGGTAAAGCAGAGTTTTGAATAGGTCTACCTGCATTTTCAGAGGGCAGAGAGCTAGCAGTAGAAGGAATACTCATCAAAGGCTGTGAGAGAAGAGACTGGTTCTTGTTCAGTATTTGGCTCCCTGAGAGAGCAGCAGATGGGTTCTGAACTTGCACTTGAACTTGAGACATGGTCACTTTCAACAAAAGTGAACAACTGCAGGTAAACAGCTTTCAGTGCAGGTTAATTCAGTGCTATGAAGTCTAAAGTTCTACCTAAAAGTTGTAAGGGAAAGAAAATAAAAAGGTAAATTATAGAGGAGATATGCAATTGCCAATATTCAGTCAAAATTGGTCTCATCTACTCAAGTATGAAAATAGCCCCATTTAGCATGTAGCTAGGTTGATTATTAGAAATATATTCCTCCTTGGTATACGCTAAGTTTCCTGGGTTTGTGACTCTCCCCACAGTGTTTTTTTAAATGACTACTAATACCCACATGTTCTGCATGTTCACTTTACAATGAGAATCAGTAGGGTATAATAATATTTATTACTAAATATTAAGAATTTTAAACTACAGCTTACATTCAAAAGTGTAAATTCAAAAGTATGGAGAAGTTTTCCATAGTACATGGGATATAGTAAAGCATTCTGGTCTCAAAATTAGAAGAAGCTGAAAGCAAATTGGGTTTGTAACACCATTAATAAGTGAACATGAACACTGCTTCCATTCAAGGGCCATATGCTCAGGTCGGCACCCTCAGCACTTTTATGTTGACTAAAGAAGGGGAGGAATTTCTCACTTCTGCAATTTCTTTTTCCTTATCATAATAAAAGATGTATTTGTTTTCCTCGTAGGACGTGTGTGACACGGTCTCATTCTACAGACGCCCACATCAATGCTCAGGATCCTGAGAATGATTTAAACAGCACAGACCATTCTATAGTATTTGTACTACTAAAAGCAGAAGTGGAGAAGAAGAAGAGAGGAACAGACTGTAGACTTTGGTAATTTTAATGGTGTGGCTGAGGCGGGGCAGCAGAGGGAAGGACAAAGTAGGAGATTGTTTACCTTCATCCTGTAAGTTGGGAGGACATCAAAGGTATTATTTCTAAATACATTTAAATTTCTTCACAAGTTAAAAATAAGGATAGTTCTGATCATTTTCATGGCCATCCTTCAAAAGCTGAAATGTTTCAAATAAGTCAAAACTACTTAAAAATTCCCAGTTGCAGCAAAGAATAGAAATGACAGGTCTCTCGGGAAATAGCCAACCAAAGCAGAAAAGAGCGAACTAACTAATTAGAAGGTCTTCTACAGAGTAACTGTTTGTTACTTTCATTTTTTCAAAAGCCTCAACTTGATTTTTAATTAAAGCTAGACCTCTAAAAAGAGACAAACAACCAGAGCAATTTAGTTACTGGAGGAGTCTCTTGCTGAGAGGCAAAAAGGGCTACAAAACGCAAAAGAAACTCAGCTGAAATATGACTTTGGATAACAGAAGCATAAACATTACCTTATTCAACAAAATTCACCAACATTGCAGTTGCTCCTTATTTATTGATATATACTTTTGGAATCAGAACAAAATCAGAGGAGATTATTGAAAATCTAGATAACTGTCTTAGCAGACAAGTTGCCAGAGTCAACAAAGAAATCCAGAACAGTCTAAAAATCGGCTATGACCTTGTTTCATCGTTGTTTTTTACTTCAGCTGCCAAAATATAAATAAATCTAACTCACTAACACACTCTCACTCTTCCCCTTCCTAAACTCCATCTTGAGGGCATTTTTCTATCCAAAAAAATCATTTATGATGTACTCACAACTTCACACCATAGGTCACAAGCTGAAAAAACAAGCCATGCAGCAAAGTGTCTGCTCCAGAGTCTACCCACACCCCAGAATGAGCAACCCAACTCTGCCCTCTGTGGAGTCTGAGACTCTGAATGAACTCCTAAACTTAGAAAGGGTGGGGCTCAAAGGGATCTTTTCAGCTAATGCGGTCTAAAACAGGCCCAGTGCCAAGCACTTCCAGTCACAGACATTAATACATAGGTCTTCTAAAGGACGAGAAGGAGAAAGGGAACAGGCTCTATTTAAGACTGCCCCAAAACTGTTAACCTCACGTTCACCTGGAGGAATTACATCTTTATAACTGATTGAAACAAGCAGTTAAAACCGCCAATTCAAAAAAAAAAAAAAAAAATCACCCAATAAGACTGTGTACTTTACAAATATTAATTTTCCATTATGACCTATATTAAAATTCAACAAACAGTACTCATTTGCTAACAAATGCTTAGTCATTTGCTAATTAACACTTCTGTATGTCTTCAGGAGTCCCAGAGTGGTACGGTTAATGTCATCGGCTGCTAACCAAAGACTGGAGGTTCACATCGACCCAGAGACACATCGGAAGAAAAGACCTGGTAATCTACTTCCAAAAAATCACCCACTGAAAATCCTATGGAGCGCATATGGAATCAACTTGATGGCAACTGGTTCATGTGTCTTTAAGCCTCAAAAGAGTATCTAAAGCAGTGGTTGTCAACTGGGACGAATTTGCTTCCAAGGAGACACTGACTATGTCTGGAGATAGCTTTAGGATGTTACAACTGAGGGGGACAAGGGGGATGCTGCTCGCATCTAGAGGTAGGGGGGCCAGGGATGCTGTTTCAACTACACACATACTAGTCGACAAAATAAAGTCTTACTAATGAAATAAGTAGCCTATATTCTTAGACAGGAAAAGAAAAATCCCTTTTCATCTCCAAAAGGCTCTAAAAAATTGATGCTAATATTTTACCACCTCCTCCTCAAGTCAGGAAAGTCATCACAGCTATGAATGGGGAGAAATATGTTGCTGACCCACGTTTTTAAAGAACAAATAAAGCTTCTGGTATTTATATAGTTCATAGTAGACTTCAGGGGAAGTATGGGATTTGGGAAATACTACTTCTGTGCAACTGTCGCACCTGTTGCTCAACCAATACCCTATCCGGAAGACTAAGTCCTTAAATGCAAACCTTTAAGTCTTTTCCTTTAAACCTGTCTTTAAGGATTATTCTTCACCTGGTAAATTAGGGACTCAAAAGAGAGTAAAATGCTTCCTTAGGGTCTTCCTATTGAAGAACAATATTTTACAAACAGTAAAAGCAGGTTGAGAAGTTAGAAACACAAAGATTGTTCAGCTTTCCGGAGGTCATTATGCTGAGTGAACTTAGTCACAGAAGGACAAATATTGTATAAGACCACTATTATAAGAACTCAAGAAAAGGTTTAAACACAGAAGAAAACATTCTTTGATGGTTACCAGGGTAGGGAGGGAGGGGGAGGATTACTTACTAACTAAATAGTAGGTAAGAATTATCTTAGGTGAAGGGAAGGACAGCACTCACTACAGGGGAAGTAAGCAATACTGGACTAAACCAAAGCTAAGAAGTTTCCTGAATACAATCACACACTTTGAAGGACAGAGTAGCAGGGGTAGGGGTCTGGGGACCATGCTTTCAGGGGACATCTAGGTCAACTGGCATAACAAAGCTTATTAAGAAAATGTTCTGCATCCTACTTTGGTGAGTGGCATTTGGGGTCTTAAAAGCTTGCAAGTGGCCATCTAAGATGCATCAATTGGTCCCAACCACCTGGAAGAAAGGAGAAGGAAGAACACCAAAGACTCAAGGAAAGTACAAGCCCAAGAGACAGAAAGGGCCACATAAACTGGAGACTTTAACCACCCTGAGACCAGAAGAACTAGATGCTGCCCAGCTACCACCAATGACCGCCCTGACAGGGAACACGACAGAGAGTCCCGGATGGAGCAGGAGAAAGGTGCGGTGCAGAACTCAAATTCTAGTAAGAAGACCAGACTTAATGGTCAGACTGAGACTGGAGGAACCTGGAAAGCATGGCCCCTGGATTCTGTATCAGCCCAGAACTAAAACAATTTCCAAGGCCAACTCTTCAGCCAGGGATTAGACTGGACTGTGGGACATTAAGTGATTTGTGAGGAGTGTGCCTCTTAGCTCAAGTAGACACAAGAGACTAAACAGGCAGCTTCTGTCCAGAGGTGAGATGGGAAGGTAGAAAGGGTTAGGAGCTGGCTGAATGGACATGGGGAATTAGGGGTGGAAAGGAGGAGTGTGCTGTCACAGTATCGGGAGAGCAATTAGAGTCACATAACAATGTATGTATAAATTTCTGTATGGGAATAAAAAATAAATAAAGATTCTTCACCTTTCCCTCTGACAACCATGCCTGTGTTGTGGTAACTTCCCTGCCTCCCTGCCTTCAGCACAGATGAGGACCTTGAATCTCCCATTGGGTTCTTCCTATTTGAAGAGCTTAAGACACCAGTTCAGGAAAACATGCTCATCTTATTTTCAAGTCCTATATTTCATGGCGCATATGTAAGCACTATAACACTAAGGGGGGTGAAATGATGGAGCTCTAGGTACGTCTTTTTGTTTTTTTTAATTGTTATTGTGCTTTAAATGAAAGTTCACAGTTTAAGTTAGTTTCTCATACAAAACTTTATACACACACTGCTATGTGACTCTAGTTGCACTCTCCATACTGTGACAGCACACTCCTCCTTTCCACCCCAGGTTTCCTGTGTCTGTTCAACCAGCTCCTGTTCCTTTCTGCCTTCTCATCTCACCTCCAGACAGGAGCTGCCCATTTAGACTCATCTATCTACTCGAGCTAAGAAGCACACTCTTCTTGAGCATCATTTTATGTTTCATAGTTCAGTCTAATCTTTGTCTGAAGAGTTGCCTTCGGGAATGGTTTTAGTTGTGGGCTAACAGAGTCTGGGGGCCATGTCTTCCGGGGTCCCTCCAGTCTCAGACCATTAAGTATGATCTTTTTACTAGAATTTGAGTTCTGCATCCCACTTTTCTCCTGCTCCGTCAGGGACTCTGTTGTGTTCCCTGTCAGGGCAGTCACTGGTGGTAGCTAGGCATCACCTAGTTCTGGTCTCAGGCCGATGTAGTCTCTGGTTTCTGTGGCCCTTATGTCGTTTGGGCTAATACTTTCCTTTTGTCTTTGGTGTTCTTCATTCTTCTTTGCTCCAGGTAGTTGGGAACAACTGATGCATCTTAGATGGCCACTCACTAGCTCTTAAGACCCCAGACACCACTCACCAAAGTGGGATGCAGAACGTTTTCTTAATAAACTTTGTTATGCCGATTGACCTAGATGTCCCCTGAAACCATGGTCCCCAGATCCCTGCCCCTGCTACTCTGTCCCTTGAGGTGTTTGGTTGTATTCAGGAACCTTCTTAGTTTTTGGTTTAGTCCAGTTGTGCCGACTTCCCCTGTAGTGTGTGTTGTCCTTCCCTTCACCTAAGATAATTCTTGTCTACTACCTAGTTAGTGAATACCCCTCTCCTTCCCTCTCCACCCTCGTTCGTAACCATCAAAGAATGTTTTCTTCTGTGTTTAAACCATTTCTTGAGTTCTTACGATAGTGGTCTTATACAATACTTGTCCTTTTGCGACTAATTTCACCCAGTATAATGCCTTCCAGATTCATCCATGTTATGTTTCACGGATTCATCCCTGTTCTTTATGGTCACGTAGTATTCCATTATGTGAATATTTAATTTGTTTATCCATTCGTCTGTTGATGGGCACCTAGGTTGTTTCCACCTTTTTGCTATTATGAACAGTGCTGCAACGAACATGGGTGTGCATATATCTATTCATGTGACAGCTCTTATTTCTCTAGGATAGATTCCAAGGAATGAGACTGCTGGATTGTATGGTACTTCTATTTCTAGCTTTTTAAGGAAGTGCCAAATCGATTTCCAAAGTGGCTGTACCACTTTACATTCCCACCAACAGGGTACAAGTGTTCCAGTCTCTCCACAACCTCTCCAGCATTTATTATTTTGTGATTTTGGATTAATGCTAGACTTGATGGGGTGAGATGGTATCTCCCTGTAGTTTTGATCTGTATTTCTCTAATGGCTAATGATCGTGGGCATTTCCTCATGTATCTGTTAGCCACCTGAATGTCTTCTTTGGTGAAATGCTTATTCATATCCTCCGCCCATTTTTTAATTGGGTTATTTGCCTTTTTGTTGTTGAGGTTTTGCAGTATCTTGTAGATTTTAGAGATTAGACCCTGATCGGATATATCATAGCCAAAAATTTGTTCCCAGTCTCTAGGTTGTCTTTTTACTCTTTTGGTGAAGTCTTTTGATGAGCATTCAAGTGTTTGATATTTAGGAGCTCCCAGTTACCTAGTTTCTCTTCTGGTGTTTGTGCATTGTTACTAATGTTTTATATTCTGTTTACGCCATGTATTAGGGCTCCTAGCACTGTCCCTATTTTTTATCCACGATCTTTATAGTTTTAGATTTTATATTTAGGTCTTTGATCCATTCTGAGTTAGTTTTTGTGCATCGTGTGAGGTATGGGTCTTATTTGAATTTTCTGCAGATGGATATTCAGTTATGCCAGCACCATTTGTTAAAGAGACTAACTTTTCCCCCAATTAACGGACTTTGGGCCTTTGTCAAACATCAGCTGCTCAAAGGTGGAAGAAATTACGTCTGGATTCTCAATTCTGTTCTGTTGGTCTATGTATCTGTTGTACCAGTACCATGCTGTTCTTACTACTGTGACTGTATAACAGGTTCTAAAATCAGGTAGTGTGAGGCCTCCCATTTTGTTCTTCTTCTTGAGTAATGCTTTACTTAACCAAGGCCTCTTCCCTTTCCATATGAAGTTGGTGATTTGTTTCTCCATCTCCTTAAAAAATGCCTTTGGAATTTGGATCGGGATTGCACTGTATCTGTAGATTGCTTTGGGTAGAACACACATTTTCCAGTGTTGAGTCTTCCTATTCGTGAGCAAGGTATGTTTTTCCACTTATGCAGGCCTCGTTTGGTTTCTTGCAATAGCGTCTTATAGTTTTCACTGTATAGATCTTTTACATTTCTGGTTAGATTTATTCCTAATATTTTATCTTCTTGGGGACTACTGTAAATGGTATTGATTTGGTGATTTCCTTTTTGAAGTTCTCTTTGTTGGTGCAGAGGAATCCAACTGATTTTTGTATGTTTATCTTGTATCCTGATACTTTGCTGAAATCTTCTATTATTTCCAGTAGTTTTCTTGTGGATTCTTTGGGGTTTTCTGTGTATAAGATCGTATCATCTGCAAATAGAGATATTTTTACTTCTTCCTTACCAATTTGGATGCCCTTTATTTCTTTTTCTAGCCTAACTGCTCTGGCTAGGACCTACAGCACAATGCTGAATAAGAGTGGTGATAAACGGCATCCTTGTCTGGTTCCTGTTCTCAGGGGGAATGCTTTCAGACTCTCTCCATTTCGGATGATGCTGGCTGTTGGCTTTGAATAAATGCCCTTTATTATGTTGAGGAATTTCCCTTCTATTCCTATTTCACTGAGAGTTTTTATCATGAACGGGTATTGGACTTTGTCAAATGCCTTTTCTGCATCAATTGATAAGATCATGTGGTTCTTGTCTTTTGTTTTATTTATGTGATGGAGTACGCTAATTTTCTAATGTTGAACCATCCCTGCATACCTGGTATGAATCCCACTTGATCATGGTGAACTATTTTTTTGATATGTTGTTGAATTCTATTGGCTAGAATTTTGTTGAGGATTTTTGTGTCTATGTTCATGAGGGATACTGGTCTGTAATTTTCTTTTTTTGTGGTATCTTTGTCTGGCTTTGGTATCAAGGTTATGCTGGCTTCATAGAATGAGTTAAGGAGTATTCCTTCCTTTTCTATGCCCTGAAATACCTTTAGTAGTATTGGTGTTAACTCTTCTCTGAAAGTTTGGTAGAATTCT